AGGCTGGTTGTCTATCTTAAAGTCTACCCTGTCTCCACTCCCACTTTTCCTAGAGGATTTATTCCAAGGAGAAAACATATTTAAATTGTACAGTAGAAAAGAAGGCCTTCTTTAAGGAGTGAAAGAAGTGCCCAGGACCACAATGCTAAGGTAATGATTTACCAAGAAGAAAGCTTGGAAATGAAATGTCATGGGTATTGCAGCTACTTCAATGTCTGCTAATGTGCACACTTGCCCTATGGTAAATAGAGCACAGTGAATGCAGTTCTGTGGTTGCTACAGAGTAGACTTTTAGCCTTCACATTTCTTGCTGGAGTAAAAAGTTAATTTTTAGAGTGACTGTCTATAATAACTTTTTTTTTAGTGCCTCTCTTCAGAGGCTCTTATTCAAAGAGCTTGAGTTTAATGTGATTTCTGAGTGTGCCTAAGGCCTGGCCTCCATGCAAGGCAAGGTGAGCAAGGCAGCTCTAAAACTGGAAAAGTATGCTCATTTCTGTAAGCTGTTCAGCTGAATCACCGTGACTTTTCTTGTGTATCTTACCATTCCTCTGTGCTGTCTCTTCTAGCCCCTCTTTAAGAATTTAACACTTCTCATTGCCACTTTGGCTATCCTGGTCTTTCCTTTGTCTGATCAGGCTTACTTTTTCTACTCACTGCTTCAGCATGGCTTCTGTTTCCAAGTAGTTTTCAAGATGTATTTCTTACAGTTAGAGGTCCTCATTTTTGATGGCACAGTTACCTAGCTTCTTTTTAGGTACTCTACTTAGTTTTATCTTCTGAACATCAGGGGTATCTTGGCTTTTGTCCCTCAGGAATAGAAAGGATCTATCTATTCATGCATCAGGAGCATCCATTAGTATGAGGAAGGAGTCTGCCAGGAACAACTTAGTTGGCCAAGAGGTTAGAGAATGATTTATGGCCAGGACAGAGAGATGAGTCGGTGACTTATTGGATTATATGGAAAACAGCTATTTTAATTTTTCCTATTTGATTCATTATTAATTTGGTAAAGATACTGACATTCTACCTCCAAGCCGAGGATTTTTCTTTCATTACAGATTTTTTTTTCTCATTCAGCTGTATCTTTAAAAACATAGTAGACTTCTCTTGTACCTCCTTGCCCCATAATGATCTGTTTTATACTGTGTTTGAATCTGCCCTTAACAGCAGTGTCACAGTTTGACTCAGGTCTGACAACAATGCTCTCGATCCCCCCTCCCCCCAACCCAGGTAGGGAAGGAGAGAGAGAAAAAGAGAGAGACTTGGCTGGATTGAAAACTAAACTACACAGCTTTAATTAAAACACTAATGAATCATACAAGAAAATATATACAATTATATACAGATAGATTCAGGTATGGGCAAAAGCCTCTCGCCTCCCCCCACCCCAGCAACTCCCACAGCACTTCCCTGAACTGGGAAGAGTCCCGAGGAATCCCGGAGCTGCTGCTGGGAAAGAGCAGAGAGTTATGGGGGTCACAAGAGATCAAGCCTGAGGATCGACGGTGATGGATGAACAGAGTCCTCCCTGGACGCCGGCCATGGACGGGAGAGAAGGGAAGAAAAAAAAAGGAAGGAAGTTGTCTTCTGTGATCTCTGACCTTCCTCTGAGCTTACGTAGATATATGGAATGGAATATCTTTGGCCAATTTTGCTGTCTGTCTAACTCAGCCTCCTACGGGGGGGGTCACAGATCTCCCCATAGTGTCTGAGCTGGCAGAGTGCAGGTGCAGCCTTGAAGCCTCAGTAGTTAGAAAAACATTCCACTGTCTTATCAGCCTAGCAGAACACACTGTTGCTAGCTACAAGAAAGCTTACTGAAGGAAAAAAAAAAAAAATCAGTAATAAGAAAAATTGGCTTCATCCTGGCTCAAACCAGGACAAGAAGGCTCTTAATTATTTAGTAATGTGTTCCCTATGTCTGTTCCCCAAATAGCCTTTTTTTGGTGGTGGTTGTTGTTTTGTTGTTTTTTCTCCTAGAGCAGTGGGAATGAGCAAGTCAGTGGTATTCTACAAAAGGGGAAATCAACTGCCCTAAGGAGTTAATTCTTTTAAATTTCTTTAAATTCTAATCTCAGTGTACTTGTCTGATGTTACCTTGAGGACCAAGCAGATGCAATGTTTCTTTTGCATGTGGTTTAGTTTCTTAGCTAGGTGTGGTGTGGCATTTGTTTTTGTGTGTTGGTATTTGAGATTGCTAGTGTACTTGAATGTTACGTGTGCTGTATCAAGTTATAATGATTAAATAACAGCTTCTTGCAAGGACTCCCCATCTTTTTTGTGCTGACTAAAGACACATCAGGGGATTATCAGTCTCAGTTACAGAAAACTAAAGGTGTGAGAACATATATTTTTAACCACTTACTTAATACTTGCTGGCTTAATTAGGGTTCATTCAACCAGAGCTAAGCCACATTAATGGCTTCTCATATGGAATTTGGCAACTGCCAAGATACACAAAACTGTGGACTGGAGCTTAGATTATGCTGAGATTACGTTTGCTGATTTTTTTTGTTTGCCACTTAAGTGCCCACAGTGTGTGTGTGTGTGTATGTAGACAAACACTTGGATAAAATTGAAAGCAGACTTGCCGATGCTTTTTGAGAGGTGTTGTCTATATATACATTCCTAACCCATCTCTTACCTTCTCCAGTGCCTTGGAAAGAAACATGGACCCTTTAGCAGAAAGGGGCTGAGTGGGAATATCACATCCCATCCCTTTCATAGTCTGTGGGTGATACATTTAGGGGCACAAGCTAACCCCAAGAGCTTTCTTGGACACCTCAGAAGTAAAATATTCTGTTTTGAATAATGCTTCCATATAGGTACATAGAGATAAGACATCTGAGAGGGCAATGAAAGTAATCCCTTTTCCCATGCTGTATAGTGTCTAGTGTATATCAGCAACTGTCTGCAAGCTTGGTGATGATATCTCTTGACAGTCATTCTTCAGTAGTGTATCCAGAGTTAATATTACTGCCTCCCCCTTGTTTTGCAGCAGATTCTAAGGTTTCTTTGCCACTCACTCACATGAACTACAAAGAAGACGAAAACTTGGATGCTTGCCAAAAGGCTGAGACAACTTCTGGGTTTTCATTTGCCAATGATCAGCACAGCATATATTGTAGAAGTATATGCAAATTAATATTATGCAAACTGATAATTTCTAGGTGCTCTAAGTTATGTTAGGAGCAGATGTGCTTTCCTATGTGGATGGGCCCCAGCATATGTGTTTTCCTTGAGCAAAGATGATAAACTCTGATGCTATGTTTGGGTTTTTTTGTCTTTACATAAACTTTTGTCAGGTGAACATCATAGGAAGAGCAGTCTGATATAAGCTACCAGCAACTTTGTAATTGTTGAGAATAGCATTTTGTATCAGCTGTCCAAGAATTACATAGCCCCCAACAATATTGTTCCCTGAGGGAGTTGTTTTTCCATCAGTTTAATCCTAAAAAAAGAAAAATGGAGTGTGCAGTAGCTGTACCTTTTTTGTGTGTTTTGTGTAAGAAATAAACATATTCCTCCTTTTTACAGTGAATAATTTGGCTTTTAGTGGGAGTTTTATTAAACAATGGAGTCAGGCTTTTTTCAGTGATGTCTAGTGATAGGACAAGGGGCAATGGGTGCCAACTGGAGCATAGGAGGTTCCATGTAAACATCAGAAAAAACTTCTTCACTGTGAGCATGACAGAGCACTGGAACAGGCTGCCCAGAGAGGTTGTGGAGTCTCCTTCTCTGCAGACATCCAAAACCTACCTGGACACATTCCTGTGTGATGTGCTCTGGGTGATCCTGCTCTGGCAGGGGGGTTGGACTAGGTGATCTCTGACTCTGTGATTTTCAGTACTGGAAAATGTTATAACAATCATGTAAATGTTACAATCTAATAGCAATTAATTTATATTAGGCATCCCTTCTTTGATGTGCTTCTTCATGGCAAAGATAATGCACTAGCTTAAGTATGTGTTGAGGCTTTCTTTTACAAAACAGTTTTTCACTCTGCTGAACAAGACAAGCTTTGTAGGCTTTGTTTGCTTTCCTTCCCCTTCTTCTTCCTCCTACACTTTGAAGTGTGTGGGTTTTGATTTGTGTGGGGCTTCTTTTTTTTTCTGCCAGTTAGTCTCTGCACTAAGTGTCTGGAGTAGACTGCACTTAACTAGTCCATGCTTTTTCACAGCATAACTGTGAAAGGAGCTCAAGGAGCTGAGCAGGTTGCTAGGCTTTTAATCCAATTTACTGCCAGATGAACTTGACAAATTTATGCAGTAGTTAGAGATGTGTCTTTTCTACCCTCTCACTGAGGCTTCCATCCCTGCAGCAGCATCAACAGAAGGGTGTGTGCGATTACCTTCACCAGAAGCTTATTTTGGGCAACTAGGTTTACAGGGAAATGCCAAACTTTTCCCTGGCAAATGTTAGTTTCCTTCCCTTGTCTTGGCTGTGGGTGAGGTGAGCTCTGACAGGGAACGGGTTGTTGGCCCTGACTCACTAATTGTCACACCAACAGTGATGGTGTGGGTGGGCAATTTGCTTTTAGTAATGCCACTGAGTTTGATAAAATAAGCATTTAAAAAAACTTAACCCTTGACTCTTGAGTTTGTGATTTAAATATGCTAATTAGTTCATGGCTTTATGTAATTAATCGTTCACATGCACCATACTTACAGTGCTGGTGTGAAATAATTACCATGGGTAAGAGTGCTTCTGAACACTGTTGGAACAAACAGTTTAATTTCCCTGAGGAGATGCAATACTCTTATTAGTATGTATTGGTGTCACATTGCTGGAAAGCTGAGCAGTTCTTCCAGGTGTTTCTTGCGTGTAAGAGCCGTGTAGCTGGAATCTTGGGATTTGGCAGCTGCTCCCAAATCAAACAAGTGCTAAATGCAGACTTGTAGCCTACCAGTAGGAGATCAAAGACTTCAAGAAGAAAGTACATGATCATTGCTCATTTCTTCAGCAATTTCTTATTTTCTTTTGTTTTTATATAAACATAGGCAAACAGTGCTGGTGATCCTTGGTCCAGTTGGAATGTTGGGAAGTCTGGGAACTGGGACAATGGAAATGCTGTTGACAGCTGGGCGACGAAGCCTGAAAGTACAGCTGGCCAGAGAAACAGTGCTTCAAATAACTGGGAGGCAGGACCAGCATTTGGTCATCCACAGGCATATCAAGGACCAGGTGTGCTAATAATGCTGTTATTTTTTAATACATTAAAGTAAGTGGACAGTAGAAGTAAGAACTGCTTAATATCTTAGAACGTGGCTTCTTTAAAAAACAAAACAAAGCCAGCTTCCTTGTAGCACATTGCTGTGTGAGTAAACTGGACACTTAAATAATGGGATTTGTAAATAAAATGGAAAAAAACCCTCAGATCTACAGTAAGAGACACCTCAAACTTGTATGGAAGTCTGACAAGCTAAAGTCTTGGGCATACATGATCTACCCTCAGGTCTGTTGTTCAGCTTGTGTAACTGGAACTTTAGCACCCTTGAATTTGTGTCCTCATGCCTGTGAAGTAGTACTCTCTTAAATCCTTAATTTTAGGAAGTGGCTTGCCAGAAGGCTTCTCTAGCTTTCTGTAGTAAAAGCCTAAATTAAGAGGAGAATTCATAACTGGGGAATGCTAACATGGAATGTATGAATATGGAACACTATTGAATTAATCTTAACAACTAGCATCTCTTTCTTTTTTTCACTCTCTGCCGAAGGCTTTCTGCTGTAGTGTTTTGCAGGTTGTATTTGGTGGGAATGGTGGTAATTGAGGTGGAATCATAAAATAGAAGGCTGAACTAGCTCTTACTTACGTTGTTGACTATTTGTGTATGAGTGATGAGGCAAATGCTTCTGCTTTTAAAGAGAAGATTTAACTTTCTCATTTCCCTACCCCTCTGCCCCCTCCTGTACTTTGGCAGCTGCTGATGATGATGATTGGGATGATGACTGGGATGACCCAAAATCAGCTTCACCATCTTACCTTGGTTACAAAGAGACTGAGACATCAGAGGCTGGGGGGGTCCAGCGTGGAAATTCTCGTTCAGCTGCTATGAAGTTACCACTTAACAAGTAATGGAAAATGCAGGGCAGATGTGTATATATTGAAGAGAATTGGAGTTTGTCAAGATGTGTAAATGTGTGACCATTCAACCTTCTTGAAAAATGCAATGTAAATATTATAGTTTTGGGACAAATGTAGCAATGGAGTTGTAGCCCAGCATTCTCCCTTTGTGATGAGAGAACAGATCCATGAAAGTCAGAAAGTACAGGACAAAGCTGTACAATTTGTGGAAGTGTTATACAGGCAAACGGTCCTTCTGCAAGATCTGAGCTTCAGGACCTATGGGTTTTATAATTTATGTCCTTAACACTACGTGTGCTTAGTGAAAATGAAAAATGAATGCTGGCTCACCCATGCAGCAGGTGATCAGACATGCTGCCCAGAGCTCATGAGCAGTTCTAAGTTGCTAGGAGTGGGGAAGACTTCTGCTCTCCTGTATGTGCATCACACAGATTGTTTCTTGAGCCGCAAAAAGCTCAATTTTTAGACAAAAATCTTACAATAGCATGAAGCTGTGTCAGGGTTATGCTAGCATTCTATCATGTTACAACTTAATGTTTGTTTATTATAAAATTACTGTTACTCTGAGAAGCTACTATGTGGTAATCTGTAAGTGGATGGAAGCAGAGTGGGAAAGGATTATAGAAGAATAGTGTCCTCAGGAAGTTAACTACTAGACATGCAGAGACAGCTGGTTTTGTTCATTAGTGGAGGTTTTGTCCTATTTTGCAACTGAACCTTTGCATCATTGTGACATCTACGTGTTGCAGACCCATTTAGCAGAATCAGTATAAACACTTCTTATTTAACAGCATTATTTGTCTGTGAAGTCAGTCCTACTTTACTCCTTGTATTTCTGCAAGCAGGCAGTAGGTTTGCAGTACTTGAAATATCTTCCTAATCAGGAAGAGAACTGCTGTTGCTTTTTGTAGGACTTCTTACATTTTTTTTTTCCAATTGATGGAGAAATTATGGAATATGACTCATGTTTCGAAGCAGTTCCTGAATCTGGAGTCTGTCATTCTTTCAGATTGAATTCTCATAATCTGAAATGGCAGGACAGTGTGCATGAGTGTGTGTATTTCCAGAGAGAGTGGCCTGCAATGGAGTGGCAGATGTTAACTTTGTGTGCTGCTTTTACACTTGTTCTGATTGGCTGCAGAGCACAAATAGCTACTTTGACTTGGAAGAAGGGGTGTATATTCCACAGTAAAAGCTGGAAGTCAGTAGCTAAAATTTTTCTGCTTTTTCAGGGCAAATTGTTGGGTTTTTTTAAAGTAATTTACGTAAGTTCTGTTACATATTTGAGAAATACTAAGGGTTTTTTTTTCTATAGTTCAAGCTAATTCTGCTTATGTCAAAGGAAGGAAAATACAGAATAAACCTATAACTTGATTTTATTGCTAGATTTCCTGGATTTGCAAAACCTGGGATGGAACAGTATCTGTTGTCAAAGCAGCTAGCAAAACCCAAAGAGAAAATTCCCATAATAGTAAGTTGGGGATGTGTGTGTAGTTTTTGTGTGTGGGAGATGTGTTTTGTTTTGGGGTTGGGGTTTTTTGTTTTGTTTTTTTGTGGCCTGTTCATTATTTTTTTTTTAATCTTCACACCCCTCCCTTTTCCCCCAACTCAACTGTTATCCTCAGGGCTGCTATATGTATTTGGGTCAGAAAAAACTGATACTGAATGTTTAATTAGAAATAGAACTGTCATAATAAAACTGTGTACTATTTAAGTGCTTTAATTTTATGTTAGACTACATTTCAGAGTCATATAATCATTGAGGCATTTTTCAGGGTCAGGTCTTAACTCCTCCTTTCTTCAAAGTGTGCTGAATTGTTATTTATTAATTTTTTGGTACTTTTTTCTCATGCTGGATCTGCATTACTTGTGATCACGAAGATAAGCCTATTTGGGGTTCAGAGGCAGAGCAAATACATTACCCTGTCTCTTAGTTATCTAGATAGATATCTAATACATAGGAACTACATCAATAAAATTTTGCAAGATCTAGTCATGATGATCAGGTCATCTTCTGATCTAAGGAACAAACTCTTCTAGATATATGCTGTTCTACTGAAATGTGGTTGAAGCAGCAATCCCTAGAATTTACCACTCATTTGCTATTTGGGAAAAATTGTAAAATACAGAATAAGAAACAAATGTGGTCCATCTCTGGTTGTGAGAAACCATTTTTTTCCCTGACTATCAAGCTCTCACTGAAATCAGTGGAAACTCAAATGAAGAGGAAGTATTTGTCTCATTGTTTGCAGCTGGAACAACATGATATATTTGTGATTTCTTACAGATTGGTGATTATGGCCCAATGTGGGTTTATCCTACCTCTACATTTGACTGTGTGGTGGCAGATCCCAAAAAAGGTTCTAAAATGTATGGTCTCAAGAGCTACATTGAATATCAGCTGACCTGCACTGTAAGTGTGTCCAAAACAGGATCTTCTCCCTGCAAATATGGGTCGTTAGGAAATGTAATGTGGTTTATGTGACATTGTGACAGGGTTTTAAGAGTGTTAGTTGTTAGACTTGTTTTTCCTCAAAGAGAGAATTTGTTCTCACATTTCAAGTTCTCCTATAATTACAGATTCAGGGCTCTAAACCATATGTTTTATTTACATGCCATGTATTTATCCTTCTGGTAACACTTGTTGAATGTCACTATCTGTAGATGCCTGTCAGAATTCAGTGTGGTGTTTCTCTTGCAGAACACTAATCGGTCTGTCAACCACAGATACAAGCACTTTGACTGGTTGTATGAGCGTCTTCTTGTTAAATTTGGATTAGCCATTCCAATCCCATCTCTTCCAGACAAGCAAGTAACAGGTAAGTATTCCCCATTGTGCATTCATGGGATATGAAATAAGGCAATCACTTTTTTACTGGGTTCAGTTATTTCTTACTGTTTGTTTTTCTCATTATTTTAAAAGAAAATATTTTTTAAAAACCCAAGCTTTTACCATTAAAAACTTATGAAGAGTTGGGTTTACTATCTAGTCCAGTGATTCTAAAAAAGAAATAAAAATTTAAAACAAACAAAATCCCTAGTGACTTATTATTGGAGGGAACTACTTACATACCATATTTGCTGGTTGTCTGGATAAATGGCTTTTGAGGGGTTATTTGTGTGTGGCAGGTTTCCTTTCTTTTGCATTTGATTGTAAATGTGTGCAGGAGCTTTGAAGCAAAGCTACTGGAAGAAAGGGAGCAGCCATTCACAAACTGCTTTTTCCTTTTTCTTTTTGTGACTAGTAAAATGTTGCAGCTGTTTCTCTTGTTGCTCGATTTCACACTTGTTTTAAAGAGCAGCTTTCATTTGTGTAACATTCTGCACAGGTTTGATGTCAGTTCAGCTTGACCCTAGTCTCTGAAGCTTGTGGAAATATAGAACTTATAGAAGCTGGCATGTTGCCAGCCATGTGGCTGTGGGCATCACTGAAAATGCAGCAGCTCTGCTCTGTTTGAAGAAATCTAAGCATTGATGCAGATGCTGGGTTAAAGGTTGAGACAAGTGACAAAGTGATTTCCCTTCCCCTGAGTCTCCTGTTTAGCATTCACCAGTGTTTTTGCTTAAACATGTATGTGTGGACTAAAAGGAAACCAGAAGACTTGATGGGATCTCTAGATTTTTTTTCTAACTGTGTTTTAAAACACTCAAAAGTTTGTCATCACTGTAAAACACCTTGCCTGTGGATTTCAGACTTCTCAAGTCTGTGGGAGAGGAGAACATGTCTTGTGCAAAAAAAAGGGGAAAAAACCCAAACAAACAAACAAAAAAAACCCAATAGAACAAACAGCCTCTTTCTCTCTTTTTGGAAACACAGGAAAGTCCAAAAAAAATGGTGTTTATTTTACATTGTGTTTAGGAGGCTTCTTTCTGAAAACTGTCTAGAAAAGTACTTATTTCTGTCCACTAGTCTTGGAGAAGCAGGACTCTTGACAAATAGACTGACTTTGCTCAGGATCATGATTTTGCTGGTGGTGATACACCTAACAACCAGCACATAACTTCTGAATGTCTCTGTTCTTTTTGTCTTGTGTTCCTTATGCTGATGGGAATGCTCTGGAGATTTCAGTCTAGATTAAAGGTGGCACAAGGTATTACTGCAGCTTATGTAACATCTCCTCCATAGTAGTTGATTTTATTTCCCACCTCATCTCCCCAGCTAGTTTGCAGGAAAGGTACTCATACCCGAATCTCGTTCACTAGTTGTGTTCTTTACCTGCTGGTCTCCATATTTCCAATTTTAAAAACAGACCAAAAAAAAAACACACAAAAAAACTCAGTCTTGTGGAGCTGCTGCCACAGTAACCATGCAGTGAAAGTATATTGAAAGTACATGTGTTCAAGGTTTGTCATCTGCACTGCTATGGAAATGAGAAGAGTTGGGTGCTGGAGGAATCTCATTCCTTACAAATACATCCTATTCCCTTTATGCTGTAGAAGTCTGATGTACATATTTTTAATTGGATAAGAATCTCTCAAGACACAGTTTGTACTAAAAAGATTCTTGTAAATACACGGAGATGATGTGCTACCAGTTTAAATCAGTCTTATGTGTATGTGTTCTAACTGGTTTATACATAGGATTTATTGAGATTTTTCTGAGATTTTTTTTCCCAACACATTAATTTGCCAAAGGCACCTCTGCTGGATTAAAAGGCATTTTATTTAGTTTTATGTGGGTGAAAGTAGATGGGCCATTCTCCACACCGGGATAAAAATATTTATGGGAGGTACTGCTTTGTTTAATCTGCTGTTAATAACTGAGCAGTGTGGTTTCAAATGCTTTGTGGGACACAACAGCTTGGAAAGTAAGTAGTGCTTTTTTTTCTAACGTTTTTAAGCCTTACATTGACTGAAGATCTACTAGACTGTGTTAATAATTCACTAGATTAATTACCAATTTTTTTCTTTTTTCCTTTTTTCAAAAATTAAAAATGCTGGGGGTACTGGGGTAGAAATGTAACAATTACTCTTCAATGTGTAACAGGGCGCTTTGAAGAAGAGTTTATCAAAATGCGTATGGAGAGACTGCAAGCTTGGATGACGAGAATGTGTCGCCATCCTGTTGTCTCAGAAAGCGAAGTTTTCCAGCAGTTTCTCAATTTTCGAGATGAGAAGGTAGGAAATAAAGTTCACGCGGAGACTGAGAAATTTCTACCCACCCCCATCCCAACCAAGAGTTCACCTTTGTAGCCTTTTCATTTGTCTGCCCCCCTGTGGGCAGTAGTGATGAGCTGAAAACAACTGTGTTTACAAAGTAACTTAGCTGATTGCTCAAAACGAGGCATGAAGTTGCTTGTGTGAATTAGGCTCCAGCAGAGGTGTGCTCTTCAAAGTAGCTTTGTTGCCAGTCTTTGAAGGGCTGTTTGTATCCTCCAGCAGAGCTGGAGCATGTATGACAACTCTTGACAGTTGCTGTGCTCTGTCTGCTGGACTTACTTATCACTTCGGTCCTCTAATTGATACTGTTTTGCTAACAGAAGCTACTTTATAGCAGATCTTGAATGTGTCTGATCCTGTATTACATTTAAAAATACCCCCTTCCCAACAGTTTTCACTGGAATGGGTTATGATAGCATTATGCTGCAGTTTTACCTGATGTAACCAGCCTGTTTTTATCCTATACTTCCCTGCCCTAGCATGTTCTTACACTTTTTTTAAAAGAGGCTTTAATAGCTGCCTTAAGTAAAATATGGTTTATTCATGACTGAACTCCAGCTCTATTACTAATTTGGGTATCTACCAATGAGGAGATAAACAGGAAAACTGCTGCTTTCTCTTTAAAGTAGTCATGCTTGTAAATACACAGACTTTGCTCAAGAAGTAAATCATTCTTGGAGATTTTTAAGACCAGACTGGATAAAGACCTGACTCACTAAGATCACAACTGATCCTTTTTCAGTAGGAGGCTGGACTTAAAAAACAACCATAATTATTCTGTGATCCTGTAAGTAGAGTTTTAATAAAAGTAGTAAGTAGCAGTCCTAGTGAAATACTATTTGAATGGCCAATGGAGGGTCGTATAATTGTGCTGGCTAGTTGGCAGTCCTTAGTATCTAAGTTACAGACAGCTAAACAGAACAAATGTTGCAATACATGTGGAATTTTTAGCCTATCTGTTCCCTCTAAGAGCTCAGTATGGCAACTGCATGATATCTTCATATGATCTTGACTAGCTTCTGCTATCAGTGCTATCACATGTGCAGATGCAGTTGAATATAATTGCTCTTACACTGTATTTCAGGAATATATGGGAAGGGTCTGTTTAACCCCAGAGTCTAGAAGATGAATTGCACAATGAGAAAGGAGGGAAGTATAAGAAACCTTGGCCTCACTGAAACTTTAAGAGCTTTAATGTATGGATGACTTGTTGGTTAACTTTATCCTAGACGTTTCATTCACTGCTTAAGTACATGTCCTTAAAGATGGATAAGCAGTGGTGGTGAAATGCTTTTTCTTAAGGAGTGGAAAACTGGAAAACGGAAGGCAGAAAAAGATGAAACTGTAGGAGTCATGATATTTTCTACAATGGAACCAGAAGCTCCTGACTTGGACATGGTAGAAATGTAAGATGGTTTCTTTTGGGGTGGACATGTTATACTTATTCATTGTTGTATGAATTTTGTTACTTTTGTTACTCTAACATCTAATTTCCTGTTGATGTGGGGTCTGTGTCTGTTAAGTGCTTTGGGTAGCCTTTTTTTTTTTTTTTTGAAGGTAACTAAAATGCCTATATTTAAACAGATAAATTCTTACCTCAATGAAATGGCAGAGATTTCAAGCAATGTTTTTTCTCTAATATTTTTAAGACCTAATTGACACTACTAAACATTTCAATATTGCATTTAAAGTTGGTGTCATGCAGCTGTTAATCTGCTTTTTGTTTTTGCTTTTTCTAAATGGCTCAGAGAACAGAAATGTGATGCAGTGGGTAGGTTCACCAAAGCAATGGATGATGGAGTTAAAGAGCTGCTGACAGTGGGACAAGAGCACTGGAAGAGGTGTACAGGGCGTAAGTGTCACTTCGGAACTCAGGAGTCCTTTCTGTGTTGCTTTTCTGTTTTTTCATTATTTTTGTTGTTTATAATTCAAGGCACATTTTAAAACTAAAGGAAATCCTAGACTATCACAAGGATGGTATGGCATTCTATCTTCTTTTAGTGTCTGACACTATCAATTGTGCAAGTTTTTAAATTTTTGGTTTTGGGGTGTTTTTTTCTTTCTCTCATAACAGAAATATCTGGTCCCTGCCCATAGGTTTAAAAATATTAAAGATTAAATAATTCTAGTAATCCAGCTAAAGCCCTTGTTGGACCTGTTTTCACATATTTATCATTTATCTACATTTTAGTGACATGGGCAAAGTAGACCTGCCTATTCGACAAAACCATAAATGATTGCATTTTATTAACCCCTTATTTAGGATTCGTGCATGCCAGGAGAAGTGATTTAAAGATAAAATGAGTTGAAAAAGAAAAGAAAGCAACTTGATTCTAACTTAATCTTTAGCCCAATTCTTTTTCTCCTATCTTGTCTCTTCCTTCCCACAGATATTTAGGGTTGCAGAACTTCACACCAAGTCCCTATGACTTTGCCTGGGCTCTAATTTCCTAGTCCACAGCAGTGTTCAGTGTTTGTGGCCACCACAAGGCAGCTATTGAAAGGAAGCAGGTACTACAGTTGAGGATCATAATTAAAAACACTTCAGGGCAGACTAGTGTCTGGCATCCAAAGACCTATCACACAAATCTCCTCAAATTTCCTCCATTTTTTCTTTCCTTCCCCCCCCTTTTTTTAACTCCTGCCAAAAAAACCAACAAAACCACAAACAAAACATTGTCCCCAGACTTGGGAGGAAATACATTACCTTGAATTATCTCTTTGCTGCTTTCTAATCTAACACTGTTGGTTATCTGGGGCTGACCAGAGGGAATGGGACATAGAGAAGCCCATTCTTGTCTGGTAGTGATTGTGATAGACCTTAGTATCTCTAGGATGTTACTCCACTTTGAATAAAAGGGTTTCCTTCTACACATCACTGACCCTCTGCTGGTCAAAAGTAGTCTAGTACAGGACAGAGCTCTGACATTGTACAGATCTCTCTTCACTAGAAAATGATACCAAGGGGGAGGCAGAGTGCCTGGGAAGGAATAAGGTCCTTCAGATGAGACTAGAAAAACAGTGTTGCTCTGCAGTTACAGGGCCAGTGATTAAAAGACTTGTGCTTACAGTAGAAATTCAGTATTTTGTTCACTGCTAAAACCTCCCTAAACTTACCACACCAGTGCTTTACGTACAGAATGACTCTTCTGATACTTACAGCTGTTAGAGTGAATGTAGTAAGTCAGATATTACTGTGTTAGAATGTTCAACTTTTCAGGTACACTGAATAGAAAAAGGAAAGTGGTGAACAGGGACATGCAAAACTGAAGAATTTCAATAGTCTCTTATGTTTTAAGTTCCCTGTCAGCTCTAGTCCCAACTCCTAGTAAGGAGTATTTTTATCATTTCCTGAGCAATAGTTCTGTACATTCCATTATACTTAAAATGACTGTGAGACCTTCCTAAATACCAATGTGAAAAGAAACCAGACATTTTTCACTGAAGTTTCCAATGAGGATTCAGTAACAAGTTAATGGCTGATAACAGATCTCTAGTACTCTGAATGGTACTTGCATAAGAAATACCAATTGTTATAAATAATCTAACTTCTGAGCAAGAACTAGGTCAAAGATAATCAATAAAATTGTGGTTGGGAGGTTTGGTTTTTGGTTTTTTGTGTTGTGTACATTTTTTTAACCACACAAAGGAGCGCCTCTGTGAAAACTGGACTGTGTGGGATGCTAGAGCAACTAAGAATCTGCTTATTTACTGGACAGTGCATGCCCTGAATACAAACGTTTGACAACAAGAGCAGGTCTACTTGTTTTTCTCCTAAAATAGATAGCTGGTAAACAATTGCTTTTACTTTCCAGATTGCATTTTAGACCTCTGCAGTCATCGTTTTCAAAGTGTTAATAACAAATGCACTCATAGGTCACAGCTTACTGACTCTGTTGTGAGGAAGCAGTTTATGCATGTTTTCAGTAAATATATTCTAAAAACCAATTTTGTAATTCAAATAGATGCATAAATTTTTGTCTGTAGATAATCTGGTTTTCTAGTGCCTTTAAATATTAGGTCCATGATTTGAAGACAGTGTAGGTATTATAGGTCTGTATAATAATTCCTTCCCTTAAAATATGAAGGAGATCTATTCTCATAACATTAGAGCACTTCTCCCACTCCCCCTTGAGCCCCCAGAACAACTAAGTTCCACTTGTGAAGGGGAGAAATAAGAGCTGGGAGTGTAGTGAGATTTTTTCTTTGTAGCAGGCACACACTGTTTCCCCAACTGTTTTTGGCTTTTAAGAATCCGGATTGCAATGGTTTTGTGCAGTTTTGGAACATCTGTAGCAGGGGAGGGGGGTAAGAAAGAGACTGTAAATGCTTCAAGAGAGGAAATGTAAAACATAGTTGTTTTTGACATCTGCTTCTATCAAGTTTTGGAAATGCTGCATATATAGTCTCATCCTTATGGGTTTTTGCTTCTGTTTCCCTCTTTTCCCCATCCTTTTCCCCCCTTTCAGCACTACCCAAGGAATACCAGAAGATAGGAAAAGCATTGCAGAGCCTAGCACTGGTCTTCAGCACAAGTGGATACCAAGGTACTTCTATATCTTCATTTGTACTTTACTTAACAAAAAATATTTTAATTACATCATGCTACCTTTTTTGCTAAGTATCCTAATGCTGTCCTCTTTGAACTTTCATTGTCAAATATATTTCTGGAAAAAATACTAAGAACTTGTTTCTCTGTGGGTATTATGGGTTTTATATTATGGAGTTCTAGTCTGCAATCTTGTTTTCTCTCACTGTATAATCATGTAGTGGTGGTGTTTAGCTTGATCTCATTAATATATAATCTGGTCACTGACAAAACATGCTGTAGCATGTCAGAAATGGAAGAAAATATGGCCTTGAAATACAGTTCTGTCACAGAACTAGTGAGTGACTTCATGAAACAACAACTCCGCATGAGGATGAAAAGCTTACTACAAGACTTTCATATACTGTTATGTGGGCTGGCAGGCTGGCTGCTGAGGTCCTTTCTTGTCCTTTACCTTTCCTCCTTCTTCAGGAGCCCTAAAATAGAGCTTATTACGTTGAGTATGAAAGTTGCGTGAGAGAAAAGCAAGGACAACAGTTGCTGAAAATTCTAATGTCAGTCTTTTGGCCAAACTGTAAATCCTGCTTTGATGTGTTAAGTTCTGCTGATGTTTTCCAGATAACTGGAAAATATTTCTTCATATCTCACAGTCCATTTTCTAATTGAGTCCATTTTTGTGGCATTCTCTTGTGAAACAGTGGAGTTTTTTTGTTTATTTGGGTTTTTTTTTCCTAGACTAAATAGCGAAATTGCTCTTTTCTAGAACCTTGTAACATTGTAGCATAGAGGCTTCCTGAAATCTTTCCATCTTAGGACTTGCAGTTGACCAGTACTTTCTCTGGCTACTTATCTATCCCTTGTTTTGTACTTTTAAAGCCTTTTTGTCCCATAAACATGTATTACAATGCGACCACTTCTGGAGCTCTGGCTCTCTGCTACTGGAAACATTGGAAATAGGCATCTAGTCCCTGTTGTTTGTTCTTATCTTTGTCCTGTACTTCAACAGGATCACTGCTTGCTTAGGCAATATGCTATGCTCCAATTCTAAGAGGTTAATTTTGGATGCAAGAACCAAGTTTGCATATGTACTCTTAGCATGGGTTAGAAAACTGTAAATCCCAGCCAGATACAATCTGTGGGTTTTCTGATACCAGTATTTAAAAGAAGGCACAGACCTTTTCCTTCAAACGAAGAAGTACTACTGTAAGATTGCACCAGGCAAGATGCACTTGTTAATCTGACTCACTTAGGCTCCTTTTCTTATGCTGCAGAATGAGCCTCATCAATTAGTTGCCAGTCACAGTGCATATTAGGAATCTGTCCCTAGTATTTGCAGAGGCAAGGGTATCTTTAAAGTAATAAGGATACATTGAGAGGTTCTTATTTAACTTGGCCACAGGCATATGTACTGTCTGATCGTTTTTAAGAACACATGCTTTGAAAGTATGATCCTGGTCTAAAAATGCATGTTGGATAGCTTCAGAATGTGCCTGGAAGTGTCTTGCAGGCTGGCACTTTGTTGCCTTTCCTATTGCATCACACAGTGCTCAAGTTAACGCAGCCTTAAATAGCATGGCTTCTCTTTTGCGGCACCAAATCTGGCTGAGTCTTTCTCCTAAATTAAGAAAATGTGAATGGTTGTGGTATGCCATTCAGCCATAGTAAGCTCTCCTAATCCAACTTCACCCCTCAGGAATTCTGTTAGGCAGTTACATGCAAGCTTCATTATCTTGCCAGCTAGCAACAGGCACATCTTCCAACCTGCTTGTGTGCACTGAACACTGTCAGCATGAGATGTGCTTGTCAAGAAAAATCTTGCTACAAGTAGTTCCCTAGTACATCAAACTTGATCTGTTTCCTTCTCTGTGATTCTGTTAAAACATGCTTCGAAAGCCATTTTAACTAGTCTTTTTACAACTACCTTTATTCAAAGCTTCTAAGCTGTCTCTGATTCTCATATGTAATGCACTCTGCCCTGATTTTGTTGTAAATGTCAGCAGCATGTGGGCCTTCCTGGTTTTCTCTTGATCAAAGAACCCCTGACACCCTGGTATATCCTTGCACTGGAACACAGCTTGGCTTTCATGGCTTGAGTTAAGAAGCCCATTCCCACCTTCACGTTGGTTCAGAAACTGAGAATGCTAGAAACTTGGCCCTGTCCATGTGGCAAAACTCTGACAAAAACCTGCACTGATAATAGTGATTGGGAGGAATCTGCTGCTGGAATTCAAGTTACTCCGATGGGTGACCATGTGGGTTGCATGCAAGATCTCTGACAAGGTGGCCTGATGTAGGGAGTGACTGGCTGAGCATGCCATGACGCTGCTGATAATGTGTATTAGAACTTGGAGGGTGCAGCAGGTGAGGCATGACATCTGACTCTGTAAAGCTGCCCTGGCACTACTAGAAAAGAGATTGTAGAAGAAAAGGATGGTGTGTTGAGGAGCTGCAGCCATTCTTCTACTACTTGTGTGCCTGCCTTTTGTTGGAATCCACTGTCTGGAACAACTATGTATGCTTTCCCTCAGCCCTACTTCTGGAGGAGTGGGAATGCTAGTAGTAGAAACTCTTACTGCCTGTGCCTTCTACAAGTTGGCTTTTTGCCCTGCTGCCCCAAATGAAAGAGGATCAGTGTTGGAAGGGCTTGTCTAGATTCTTTGAAGCTCCACTCTACAAAGGTCATTTGAGTGAGCTCTGCACAGAACGGGGGGATTTTCTCTTTCTACTCAAATATACATGGACTTCCTCTTTCTTTTTGCTCAGATAGGACAAGTCAGCATCTCTTATGGTATTATGAAATGAACAGCAACATCTAGGCTAACTTAGCTTCTAACTAATTACAAAGTCATGCCATGTTTTGTCCCAAAATCTAGGAGTCAGCTGCCTATGCAGCAGACCTGAGGAATTCTGAAATAATTAAATTATTTAAGTCTACATGACATCATGAAATTGATCTCCCTGAATTTTTTGTATTGTTTTATAACAATGGGAGAATATCTTTTGAATTATGTACGTCTTAGATCTCACAATGGGATTTCATGCTGCTTTTATATTTATTTTATCTAGACAGGCTCAAATAGGACAAAAATAACTTTTTTTTTAGCATTTGTGTTGCTTGCCTTACTAGTTCTTAGGATCAATAGCTTTCCGTCAAAGTTTTTGACTTTGTGAAACCAGTCTAATGTAAAGTGGGAATTGATGGATAGAACCAAAGCAACATTTGGTCATTACCTTGTTTCCTTTAGGAGGTACTAAAATGAAAGAATCCTATCTAATAAATCTGTGACATAGATAAGTCCATATGTTGTAGTGAAAGAAGGTAATTTTAATGTTCAAATCAATCATTAATTAAATTAATAATAGGTAGTTTTCCGTTAAATCACTGATTAATATCTATAGAATAAAAACAAAATGTTTGTAAAAGACTTAACTGCTGATTAATATCAAGACATCTGAAAGGATGAGAAAAATCTTTTCTTAAACTGATATTTGGTATCTACAAATCATACCTTCCCCTTTCTCTGCCTCAACTTGCTTTCCATACTGTTGTTTACATGCTTTGGACAAGCTAACAAGGATGGAAAAAACCTGTGGTGTTTTGGGAAGGTGAAGTGGCATGAAAAACAAGAATGTAAGGCTTATTTCCACCTTTGTCCCACATAGCCATGTCCTGCTTAGTAGTACAGTGTTTAAGCACTTGTGGTGGTGTTGTCTAGCTTAGGATTTGTGGTGATGTCTGTATTTTGAAGTGTACTTTATGAGGGCCTTTCACTTTCATCATCATATGAAATAGATCCAAAACTCACTCTAAAAAGCAGTGATTCTTACAGAGCTTGAAATTACTGTCTGAAAGTTCCTTAAAGGGTCAGAGTTGGCAAGGAAAAAAAGTTAGCTAAGCCTCCTGCTTCTCTGACCTCCTAATAATAATGGTCCAGCACTGTTGGAGAGCTTAGGGCAAAAATCACTGTGCCACAGGGCATTATGGAGGATTTACTACTTCTCAGGTCTGAAAACCATGTATTAAAAATCAGAACAGTGGGTCTCTTCAGCTTTGTTAGTTTATTTTCTAGTGTCACCTTCCTCATTCTCCCTTCCCTCCTATTCTGGTCACCTTCCTGTTGCCCTTGTTGGGGAATGAATACCTGTGTATCTTAACTACATATCATTATGGAATGTAGAAGTGAATAGTGCTAGTACTATGGTGGAAGAGTGTTTGTGTCGTCCCTTTAGTACTCATTTTCTACAAGGTTTTCAGAGTTTTTGTTCTTTAATGGTATAAAAAAAATACTAATATTTTCCTAATTTCTTTATTACTACTGGTTATAAAATAGGCATTTATTACAGTAAAATAAGCTATTTTAGAAATTTGTCTTGAATCAAGCAAATTTCTTACTGTAATTGACTTATTGTAATTTCAGTGCTGTTGTTTACTTTTAGGAGAATCTGATCTCAATGGAGCAATAACAGAAGCAGGAAAAACCTATGAAGAAATTGCCAGTCTTGTAGCAGATCAGGTTAGTAGTATTATGAATGTATTGGCATAACATGTACAAATATGTTGCCTATTTGGATCATTTCTGACTTTTTTGCTTTTCTGTTAAAACATACCTGCTGGTCCTGCAGACCAGTTAAATGAAATTACTATTAATACTTTTAAGTACACTTTCATCCTCTTTTCTACTGTATGTCAACTTAGGGGTAATGTGATGGGAGTGTATTTCTCTCAGATCAGAAAGATAAAATTCTGGTCTCTAAATTAATGAAATTATTATTTTCTCTTTAAATGTGTGTTTTCTGATGACAGTGAGGTGTCTTTTAGTACTGATACAAAAGAATGAGATAATCAAGAATAGGGTTTCTACCTTCCCCCTGCATTTCCCAAATGTCTACAGGATCCAGATCTTGCTGCATTTCACTATCTTGACATGCAATTGCCTAGTTCAGTAAAAACCTAGTTTTAAAAAAAATCCTTATTTGTGTCAGAATTCAAGTCATAAATTGATGTTTAGTGTATTAAGCCTGAAGTCTCCGAAGCGTAGATTCTCTTGACCACAAGGCTGAGTCTGGAAGTTCTTAAAGCAGCTTTGCAAGTCAGTTGACTAAGAAGATGTACCTGTGCATATTCATATCTGTGTATGTAACAAGATTGTTGCTTATTAGTGCTATTGCTAGAACTGGTAACTCCTTTTCAGTGAAAATTTGAGGCAAACCTCCTCACTTGGTAAGTTAGTGTTGAGTAAAACAAATAATAGAGGCGTCTGTTCAGTGATGCTCAGTTTCTTACTCTAAAGAGCTTGTATTTTAATAAGAACCTATTGAAATATTAAAAACTTGCAACAAACAGTTAAGATTTTGTTTTGGATTTTTCCCTATTCTTTCCTTCCCTTTTTTCCTTTACTCTTTTTTGATGTCACAGTTCCTTTTTTGTGATGATAATATGCCACAAATACTTTCACTAATGCTTACCCTTTATTTATCAGCCCAAGAAAGACCTTCACTTTTTGATGGAAACAAATCATGAATATAAGGGATTTCTTGGTTGCTTCCCTGATATCATAGGAGCTCATAAGGTATGTGAGGGGCCATTCCTTTTAAGGGTTGGGCAGTAGGAAGATGTACATCAACAAAAGGGGTGGTATGGTACACTTGATTAGTGCAACAGCCTGGTCCTTCCAGAAACACTGAATGTTGCTGTGAAACTGGGATGTTGATTTTTCAAACAGAAAATACTTAAATGGGAGGGAATTCAGAACTTGTCACTAGAAGCTTCATTATTTTCTTAAGGGTAACTTCATATCCCAATGTGGTGAATAGCAGTAGTGTAAATTTGTAGTATTTGAGTCTTACATAGTAGCTGATACTAAACCATTCCAGTATTGTAGGAAAAATTGTGTATCCTTACATGGCTACCTTACTTATGTGTGATAAATAATCATGCACTGTCTAGACATTTCTTTAATATTAAAAAATATACAATAGGAGTAACTTTTCAGGGGAGGGGGAATGACAGACAACAAACAACCCATCAACCACCTTTCACTCTGCAATATGGAAGCCATCAAATAATAAAACAATAAATTTGGCCATTGTGTCTAGTTTGGGATATTCTACTCTATTTTCTTGCTAGAGTTTTCCTTATGTTCCTGTGCCTGCTGTAACATTTTTCAGAAAACAAAAAATTTTGAAGTATTAAACAAATACACAAGTTGTTGGTGTTGGTTTTTTTTAATACTTGAAGTGTTAAATGTATAAAACAAGAACATCCTTCTGAGAGCAGCAAAGATAAAAGCATATCAGATGTGTGTGTTCTTTCTTCATGACACTTATGGTCCCTCATCCTACAGAATCCTTGGGGAAATATGCCATAAAAGGAGAAGAAATGTTTTTAAAACTTGAAATATAAGCATACTGCCAAGAGATGTGTAAATAGATTCTCTGAATGTTGTTTGGCACAAATTCATTGTGAAGGGGGAGGCATTTCTTTACATGCTTGTTTACGTGGCACAGGGATTTTTTTGAATCAAAAGTTATAAATTACAATGAGTTGTAGTTTCTTGGAAAGTAGTTTGTTGTCTCATGTTGCATAATGTGCAAATAAGGTTCTGCAGGCATTTGGTAGTTTGAGGCTTTTGGATTGTTTTTGTTGTTTTGTTGTTTTGTTGTTCAGCTTAATTTGAAAGAAATATAAGCATACTGCCAAGAGATGTGTAAATAGATTCTCTGAATGTTGTTTGGCACAAATTCATTGTGAAGGGGGAGGCATTTCTTTACATGCTTGTTTACGTGGCACAGGGATTTTTTTGAATCAAAAGTTATAAATTACAATGAGTTGTAGTTTCTTGGAAAGTAGTTTGTTGTCTCATGTTGCATAATGTGCAAATAAGGTTCTGCAGGCATTTGGTAGTTTGAGGCTTTTGGATTGTTTTTGTTGTTTTGTTGTTCAGCTGTATTTTGAAACTTGATCCTTTTGTCCTTTCTGTATATATCCTGGTGTATTTTTGCTTTCACCAAACTCAGTTTGCTAGTGGCTGTGTTCATGTCTGTGTCTGAAGTCACTTCTTGCCACCTGTTAGGACTCTTGAAGGCAATAGAGTGAAATAACCACCTTTAGGTGAAGATGTGGGAAGGCAGAATCTGTCATTGGGCGTGTATATATGTGTTGTGTTGTGCAAACTGAGAGTGTGTGGCATTTTAAATTACTATAAAGACCTTTAAGTTGATTACTCTTGTAATCTACACTTTGATCTTTCTGCATTTGGTTTCTACAGGGAGCAATAGAAAGAGTGAAGGAAAGTGATAAATTAGTTGCAACCAGTAAAATAACGCCGCAAGACAAACAGAACATGGTGAAGCGTGTGAGCACCATGGCTTATGCACTACAAGGTAAACCCAGTCTTGGGCTAAATGGCAATGTTGTAGACCTTTGAAGGACACATTAAAGTAACAAACTTTGAAAGATAATATTTGTTCTAACAGGAATGGAAATTAGAGCTAGGTAAGCACACTGCAGTTGAAAAACTGGGAAAGTGAGGAGTCAAGCCTCAGTCCCACAGGGTATTAAACACTTAAGTGCATCCTGACTAACAGGATAACATCTGACTTGAGTAGGATTATTCATTGCTGAGGGAGTTGCATCTTTTTTTAGCTGACTTAAAGCCGAGAGTGTTCAGTATTTTACAGGACAATGTCAGAGTGGCATACAAAATTGGTTTTAAAAACAAAGAGGGAAAGACCTTGTACCCCTCCCTTGATCCACAATGATGCAAGAGTACTGGGCTGTATAAATGGTGATCATGGAGGAGACTTCCCAGATGACTTTGGCAATCTAGAATATTTCATCTCCCTCTATTGGTTTCTCAATATGTTTAACTTTTTATTTCAGACATAAGCTATTATCTGATAGGAGATGCAGAAAGTAGTGGAAGGTGTTATGGATTAAGTAATGATTTTTTTTCTCAGGTTTCTACTGAAACAGCCTCAGTCAAGAATGGGTCAAACACTACTGGCTGTATCTTTTTTAGCTAAATATATACAGCTGTGGCTTGTGACTCGATATCTGTACCCTTGGAAATCTGAATGTCTTGGCCAAATTCTGTTTGAAACACTTTAGGGAAGAGCAATTGCCTCAGTAGAAGAAAATTCTGGTTGTATTCTTTATCAAATCTTTATACACCTGAGTATTGTAACAAGGCTGTAACACCTGGCTTTATCCAGGAAGTGTCTGTATTTTAGCAGTGAGTAACAGATACTACCAATTTTATTAACAGTTCCATGATAACTTGAGTGCTGCAGGTAAAACGGGTTGTGGGAGCCTGAGGATGGTAACTGTGCTGGCAGGGCTGGGCACGGAACTTGTTGCACAGTAACTAATCTGAATTGAGTGAAGCTGTTCCTCATTGCAAATGCTTCTCTTAAGTCATTTGCCTCCTGGGTCTAATTGCAGCTGAGATGAATCACTTCCACAGTAACCGGATTTATGACTACAACAGTGTCATTCGCCTGTATCTGGAGCAGCAAGCACAGTTCTATGAAACGGTAAGTGCAGCATTGCAGTGCTGCTTTCCTGGCACGTGCTGAGCTGTTAGTTTTATAAGAAATACAGTACTTAATCCTCTTTTAGTATGAGCCCCTCCAAGAGAGCAGATATTTGAAGGACTGTACATGTAAAATAAGAAACAAAGAATGAGTTTAAATATTATTTTCCTATAGATACTGTCCTATGTATATTACTGTGCCATATTAGACCTGTTAGACCTAAAATCCAGTGTTGAGTGACACTATTGTTGCTAGCTTGATCGGTTTGGTTTTTTCAATGGCAGTACTAAGGTTACCAAGAACTTTACTTCTGTGGCATGCATTAAGTAAGACCTGCTGCACTGAATAAAATAATAAACCATTTTAATGAAACTTCCCTCCTATAGGATGGGAGGATGAAGAGAAGCTTCTGTGATTTAAAGCCTGATGCATATACAAGTGTTGGATAGGGGGAAGTGGAGTGGTTTAGGTGACTTACTAATTAAGTGGACTCTGAGCACTTGACCTACAAGCTCAGTTCTCATTTAACATTGTTCTCATGCATATGTTCCTTGTGGTTTTTTAGATGAAAGCTGAGAACAAGCTTTCTACTGTGGTATGCTGGTAAAAAGTGATTTTTGTACTGGAGCCTGACTTCTGTCATTTAAAGGAGTAATACAGGCAACTGGTTGCCCCTTACAGGAGTAAAAGGTGCCAGTGAGTCTTCGGAGTATCTTCAGTGGATGAGAACTAAAGGTCCCCCATCAGGTCACCTTGCTTAGTTTCTCTGACACATATGATGGGATTAGGCAAGGGTTCCTCCTTACCTTCTTTCAGCCTCATCTAGTTTATCTCAATTCTTCAGGTTGCAGCCCCACTAATCTACTTTTACCAGGCCTCTTGCCCCTATTACAGGAACCAGATCCATGTTCACATGTGGGGTGCTGGTTACCTGGAGAGCACAGGAGCTCTGTTCTGAAGTGTCTTGTTTCAGCAGGGAAATGGATTTAATGAAAAGTCTGCCTTTGTTTGTGTAGGCCTCGAGCATAGTGCAGGGCTCAACAACCTAGTGAGCAGGATGGCAGCCCTGCCTACAATACTTTCTCCAACACAACCTGAGTGGTGAAAGCACAAGATGAACATGGCAGAAAGTGTATCTATATGAGAAGAAAAGCCTGTACAGTGGGGTGCTTTGAGAGTCCGACATAAATTGTAGTTTTTTGAAAAATGAAAGAACAATCCATTTAATTTCTTAGCCTGCAGTCTTGTTTCTGCACAGTATGAAGTGACTAGAGGTTGAATCTATTCTGTTTCTTTGTTTCAGATTGCACAGAAGCTGAGGCAGGCACTCAGCCGCTTTCCGGTGATGTAGAGATGAAGGAGCAGTCAACATTAAAGAACAATTCTGAAGTGCTTTTCTGATTTGGGGGCAATGCCAATAAAAACTTGCTAGACTTTGCCAGCCAAAAATAAACCCACCAAAAAAAACCCATAACAACGACAAAAATCAGTTGTAGAAAAAAAATTATTTAAAGTTTTACTTTATCAGCCTAAATCATAAGGATCTCTTACCTTGAATGCTCTCCCATTCATAAAACCAGCTAGATAATGCTGTCAGCTTAGAGATCTAAATTAACAAACTGATACATTGCCATGGACTTCATGCGGACTTGGGTCTATCAGATGTTCTTCCAAAAACTCTTAATCAACATCAGAGTTACTAATGTGTAACTTTTTATGTGGGAAAGCAGGCAAGCTTGAGAAAATCACTTTAATACTGTTATATTCAGTTCTAGTGATTCAGTAGCCAGGAGGAATTATATTCATGTATGTTTCTGGTACATGTTCATTATAATCTCCTGAATGAACACTCTTAAGTTTTGCTTCCCAAATCCAGCCATAGTATACAGCTCCCAGTATGGCTTCTGGTAAATATCATTCACTCTTCCCTTTTTTTTCCTTCTGAGTCTTGTACTTGCGGCACAACACCTCAGAGCTTATGTCAGGCTCATTCTTTCTTGCTATGCACTGTGTAAAAAGACAAAGTACCAAGAAGGAAAAAGCCATTCAGAAAGGTGTGAAATACAGTTTTCCATATCAGCACTTTGACACATTTTGCCACAGGGTGCTGTTGTTCCTCAGTGCTGTACAGGGACAGCTTTCCTTTTACCTCTCTGAGAGTTTTAGGTGTTTCAGCAGAGGGGACACAGCGACATCTAACCCAGACTAGTAGAAATCCCCAAATTCCAACTAAGCTCGGGCCTTTATGTAGTAGTATGATATGCTATAGGGTTGGGTTTACTTTTTGTTACCTTCTGATCCAAAATAAAAGGTGACAAAAGCACTGAGTAACACTATTAGTTACACAAACCCTTTGTTTTGATCATCATCTCTTATCAAGTAGCTCTGTGTCCTCTTTCATACTACTGAAATACCATTTAAGGCCTGGGCTTTTCAGAGCAAAAAGGCCACAACCAGCCCTGTTCATAATAGGCAGCAGCTACAGTAATTCATTTAATGCAATAAGCAGGAAAGCCAAAATGCAGTTTTTAGCTAAAATGTGCCTGGAACATATACATTTTAGCAAAAAAAAAAAGATGCAAAGGCAGACATTCTAAGTGATGGGTACAGTCTGCTGGTTGAATAGTTGCCTTATTCTGTTATGTATTGGTGTTACTTTTTTGTGCTAGAAGGAAAAGCTGGGTCTGCCTGACTAACAAGAAACCAAACACAAGATTAAGCTGAAGTCTAGATGCTTTTCAGTGTCACGGGTTTTGTTCACGTTTTATAAACCTTGTCTTTTTCTCCTCCCAGTTTCAGTAGTTTGCTTCCAAAATTCCATATTGCAGTGTTGTTTGATACAGCCATTTAAATATGTACAAATTGTAAAGAATGTGTATAAATATTTTACACCAAATGTAAGATCTGCTTGCATGTAGAAGCAGCTTATATAATAAATTGTTACAATATGTACAGTAAATTCTGAAATCACTTTTCAAGCCAGCATTTTTTTTAGCATTTGTATATTCACTTTTTTGGTAATGAAATCTCTTTGTAACAGACTCTTAATTTGGAAAGGGGAAGAGGGGTCTTTTTACCAATCTTTAAATAGCTCTGTCTGCACTGAAGTTGAATATTCTTTATTTTGAATAGATGGTTTTGGAATCTAAGTGTAAGCTGTGCATTCCCAGTGCAGGGAAGCTATGACAGTAGCAACTGTATCAGAGATGCAACATTTTGACAAAAAAAAACACAACTGTTTAAAGACTTCCAGTAAAATGAAGTTAAACTGATAATAAATATTTATGTATATCCACAAGACTATTTTATTTTTTTCTTAGAAATAATCATGTTGCTTTTTTACAGGCTGATGCAGTGTGAGGCAAATCCTCAGTAGAGCTTTTCATCAACTTAGACACTGGCCAGCTGAGGACTGAGAAAGCATCCATGTGTCTTCCATAAAGCAGGCACCACAACTGAATGGCATAATAGTGCTAGTGAGTGCAAACCAGTAAAGGCTATGCATATGTTGTAAGCTTTCATTATTCAGGTCAGTCCAGCTCATGGTTGACAGAACCCTCCTGACTGCAAATAAGTAGTAGAGCACAGTGCTACTGTGTATTCCTGGCTTTGTGTCGATGTGGTGTTGACCCAGAATAGGAATTAGATTGTCTTTGGTACTTGTTTAAGTTGGACATGAATAGTGGCATAGTCAGGTTGGGTGAGTTGGAAACAGCAGAAAAACTTCACATTGAAGATGCAGTTATAAAACAGAAATAGCAACTTTAGAGTAAGACCTGGACAGTACCCTCCTGAATTTTGTTTGTCACAGCTAAGTAATTAATCTCTGGAGCATCAGAAGGCCCTAGCTTTTTCTTAGAGGGTATGATGTAACCAGTGGTGTTATCCCAGTGACTTTGTAAAAGATAACAAATGTCCTGCCTACTGAGTTTAATTTTAAATTTTAATTGTTTATTCCATTATTGTAAAAATACTAAATTCATCCTTTAACAGTCAAAATAGTTATGAAGTAGTTATACAAAGATGAATGTGAACTGTATTTCTTGTCTGTTGTTACCAGACTGCAGCAACAGACTTCTTTGTTGTTCATAGAACTGTTTGGGTTGGAAGGGACCTTAAAGATCATCTAGTTCAAACCCCCCTGTGTGGGCAGGGATGCCAGGCTGCTCGCCTCATGCAGCCTGACCTTGAACACTTCCAGGGATGGGGCATCCACAGCTTCCATGGGCAACCCGTGGCAGTCTCATCACCTTCAGTGAGGAATTTCTTCCTGATATCTAACCTAAATCTACCCTTTTTCAGTTTTAAACTGTTCCCCTTTGTCCTACATGTAAGAAGTCCCTCCCCAGCTTTCATTAGGCCCCCTTGAGGTCTCCCCAGAGCCTTCTCTTCCCCAGGCTGAACAACCCCACCTCCCTCAGCCTGTCTTTGTAGGAGAGGTGCTCCAGCCCTCGGATTCACATTGCCTTCTGTTGCAATGAAGTCTCAGTAGATCCAAATCTAAGATGTTACTCTTAACTGATTTCTCTTATCTTCTGGCATGTCTTTCCCCAAAAAAACCAAATTAATTGATGAACTATTATTCTAAGAGACAGTTTTCCTAAAAATATGTAATAGAGTAGAATTTTAAAGATGCAGTTAAGTTGCTAGATCCAAGAGGTTTGTTAGGGGAAAATCCCAGCAGAATAATGACAGAGTATAAAAATAATAGAAAATATAGAAAGATTGTGGACACTTAAATTTTTTTTTTTAAGTATTTAGTGGTTTGATTTCTTTTGAATTGTTAGTTATTTGACCTTACTTATTAGCCTGTCCCTAAAGACACTCTCCAAGAGCAAGGAATAGGGGGCAAGTGATACATGTGTTTGCACATACATAGGAACATGCAGTGTTTGTGTTAGTTCAGGTTGCTGAGCCAGTCCCTGTGGGCTAACAAGTCTGCCAGGAGAGGTGCTTAACTGAGAAAATGAACCTGTCAAGTGGGTTGGTAACCAGGCTGTGGCTTTGACCATCTCACAGAACTGATAAAGGGGAGCAAGTGTTTGTCATCAGCCAGCTTGAAAGAGACTTGGCTGGGGCAGTGGAAGAGCTTGTCTGAAGAGCTGGAAAGGCACAGAAAGTCTGTGACTCTGAAGGGGGGGAAAAAAAACAACAAACCATCACAGACAAAAAAGGTAAAGGTCGCCTTTAAGGTTCCTAATTCCTTTTCATGGCTTCTGGAAAAGATTAGCCCAAAGGTGAGAAGCTATGAGAGAAGGGGCAATGGTTAAGTTAATTTTGTTAGCTGTTGTGTCCCTGCCAGAAATAACTACACTTTGAAGCCCTTACGCACTTTCAACCATAACATATTTCTTAGGAATAAAGCCTCTCTGCTGGACTACCTAGAAAGGATGAGCTTAAGGTGTTAGGATCAGAGAAAGGCTGGCCTGGGTGCTGGTATGGTGGAGTTGGTGGGCGGTGCAGTCCCATTTACACGAAGACAGCCTGTGAACTGGCACGGAGCTCAGGGGAGGAAAAGCACCGACACATTATCTAAACCAGGGCAGGTCAAGTGCCCTGGGACTGAGGCACAGCTGCCCGGGGGCGTCTGGCCAAGGGAGCATCCTGCAGTCTGATGTTTCAGTGTCTCACTGCATTCCTTCAGGCTCCCTTCTGCCCACAAACAATGCCTTCCTTGAACTAGAAAAGATGGGAGCAGCATAAAAGCAAGCACCAGGTGAGCTCTCCAGTTACTGATTTTGGTAAATTAACCTGTTCTGAATGTACCTGTTTTTTCCAATGGGTTTCTCTTACAGGAAATACTAGTGTTGGGATTAACAGAAAGACAAGTATTTTGAATTTTAGCTGTCCCAACACCTGTACCAGGAGGTGTGTTGTCTGTATCTCACTGATGGGAAAACAGGGACAAACGAATTGTCATGTGCTGAGAAGGTAGGAGGACTGAGAATAGAACCCAACTGCTAATTCTGATGAAGGAATTTGATTCTGAAATTCAAATCTGAAATCCTCAATCCCTACACAGCTTCATTCTCCTCCCTTGGGCACCCCCTCACCAGCCCCTTAAGCTGATGCCTACCTCCAGAGCTCCTCCCTGTTTGCAAGGGTAAAATTTCTGGTATATGCAAGAAGTGCCTATTAAATTGCTTGTCATAACATCCACCCACATCTGCCTGCAATTAGATGATGCCTCAGTGACTAATGAATTTGGTCACTCTCAGGAAACTCGAAAATAGTGGGACAGCAGACTGGAGTTTACAGAATGGGAACTGTGAGGAGTGTTTTCTCATCCTTTCAGTATCAAAGGAGGATTAAGGGAATGAAAAACAAACTACTGATAAATTGAGAGGCAAGCTTTTTATTGTGACTATTTGTGGTAGAATGTCTGAAGAAAAACAGTCTGTTAAAATAATTGACAGTTGTGGATGAAACTGGATGCTAAACACAATGGT